CTAGGAATGTGGCTCCCAGGGAAGTTAGCAAGGAGATAAATGAGGCCCTGTGTGGCCTCACTAGTCTGTGGTGTGTGGTAAACGTGCCGCTTCTCAGCAATGCTCTCCCCTGGAGAATCACCCAAACGTTTGCATTCCCACAATGTATTTTTTCAGAAAATACTCTCTTCCTGAGAGTACAAATCTGGTTTGCAGGCTTCTTCCCGAGACCGAGCCGTTCCTCCACTAGGGAATGTGACTTGACAGTCCCATGAAAAAATACTTTTAACAACAATTCATTTCCAGCTATCTAGTTATTATGCATGCTTTAGAATTTTCAGTTGAGAATACTGTTTACATGAAGTTAATTTCAAAACATGGAAAAGACTGGTCAGGGAAGTCTGTCTCCAACAACAGCAGCAGCAACAACAGAAACAAAAACAAAATCCCCCAAACCCTGAAAATACAGAAAAAAAAAAGAAAGAAAGAAACAACTATGAGACTAGCTATATAACTTCTCTCTCCACACAGTGTAGTTTTATACTGTTTTTTCCTTTCCTCGTTTTCCTTGGCATTAGTGTGCTGCTAGCTCACCCAAATCGAGACACAGCAAGTCAAAAGCCACATGGCTTAAGAAAACAGACTGTCATGGTTTTGTGGGCATGACCCTTGGGCTCAGCCAAATTGTGTGGGTAGAAGTAAGGACCATGAGGAGGAAATGGCATTAGCTACTGCTGTGGAGAGAAAATTGCATGATCGCAGAAGATTTCTTTTCAGACAGTTCCCACTTCTCTGGTGGTCAGGTTTGTCTCTCATGCCTTTCATTGGTAGACCATAAATAATCAGCCAAAGTAAAATTTCTGTCCTTTTAGATATAGGAAAGTACTCACTAGCTTATATATTCATCATAAAACTTGTTTATTTGGGCAAGGTCTTACTATGTAACTCTGGCTATTCTGGAACTCACTTTGTAGACCAGGCTGGCCATAGAGATCTGCCTGCTTCTGCTTCCTGAGTGCTGGAAATAAAAACATGTTCCATTATGTCCATCTAGCCCATAAAACGTTTTAAAAGATCAATAATGTGTGAAAAATAAAGAAAATACGCACTAGGAAACTCAAATTTACCAGCAGCAAACTTATAATACATGTGCAACGCCCCCCCCTCCCCCGCCTTTTTTTTGAGTCAAGGTTTCTCTGTGTAACAGTCCTGGCTGTCCTGGAATTTTGTAGACCCGACTGGCCTCAAACTCACAGAGATCCACCTGCCTCTGCCTCCTGAGTGCTGGGATTAAAAGCGTGCGCCGCCATGCCCGGCTCATGTGCAAAAAATTGATGTAAAAGATTTTCTAGATGAATTACAGATGACAAAGTAATGCGTGCACTGTAGAAAGTTGAACTGGACCAAGCATTTCTACTAGTTGTATTACACCTTTTCATGAATAATGTATTAGTGTCCCTGAAAACTCCCCTCCCACTTCCATGCTGATCCCTTAGTCTTGTGAGGAAGGGTCATGATACAGCTATCTCATTTAGAGCTAAGTACTTTACGGCCTCTTATTATCCTTACCCGGTATGGGTGCCTCTATCAATCATCATCTACTGCAAAAAGAAGCTTCCCTGACAAGGACTTCCCATGTTCGTTAATCCTTCTGCTTTCAGATTGCATTATTTTCTCTTCATTCATTTGGCTTAGTATACTTAACATGATGGTTTTCCCTTGTATCCATTTTCTTGGGACTGCCTTGATTTCATTCTCCTTTGTGGATGGATAAAACTCCATTATGCATATGTAGCATCGTTTCTTTATCTGCTCATATGACAAAGGCACCCACATATATCACAAAGTGTGAGGCTTCCAACCTTGCTCTTTTGTGTGACTGCCTTAGCTGTGGTAAATAGCTAGAGTCTCCACATGAATTTTAGCATTTCCCTGTCAGTTTTGACAAAACAAACTCTTTCTGGGGATTGCATAGAAGTTACATGGAATATGTAGATTACATTGAGGAATATTGCCATCTTAATAGTTAATCTTTTGTTCTGAGAAAGATGGGTATATTTTTAACCAATTTAGGTCTTGAATTTATGTATATTTTTACTAGATTAAATACACACCCCTGTATAATAACTGAGATACCTGCAGGTCTCCCTCCTCATTTAACCCTGCTGTATGGTGAAATCAATACAGTTGGGAGGAATATGAACACTCAAAAGAATTTCAATCCCCCTATGTTTTCAGAATTCCTTATTCTGTATTACAACCAGGGAAGTTGGTTTGGTGTTGATTCCTGAGTAGCTCTCAAATAACATTTTGAAAGAAAGTTTCTTCAATGAAACATAACATCTAAAAATTCATAAACAATACATCTCATCATGTTTACATATGCAGAGCATAAAGTATATGCACATGTAACAGCATATACAAGTTCTAGATGAAAACACACTGATTTGTTCCAATGGTAGTTTATTTCTGGAGAGGAAGAGTCAATGGGATGAGGAAGGAAGAGGTTAGGGTTCTACTTGCATTTTTTTCTATAAGAGTGTTTTCATGTATTTCTGTCATAATTTTCAATACGTATAATAGTAAATATAGCTATGGCTTCAGTGAGATATTTTTTGTCAACATCTGTTACAACAAAACTAAATAACACTGAACTTGAGATCAGGGTGATGTTGAGCAGCTGGTTGAAGTTGAGGTCACAGTGAGGAACATTGGTCAACATTAATAAGGTCATTAAAAATATTTCTGGGGGCTGGAGAGATGGCTCAGCAATTAACAGCACTGCTGTTCTCCCAGAGGACTGGAATTTAAGTCCCAGCATCCACATGGCAGCTCACAACTGTCTGTAACTTTAGTTCCAGAGGATCCAATGTTTTTACACAGACATACGTGCAGACAAAACACCAATGCATATAAATAAAAATAAATAAATAGTTAAAAAAATGTTGCTGAATGGATGACATCCTCCACTTGTAATCAGGTGCAGATTACCACTGGCTCACTCTTTAATGGGGGTGGGGCTGTAGAACAGTAGGCAGTGGTCGAGGACCAGGGAGTGGGCGAAGATTCACTGGAAAATACTGAAACTGATTTACTAGTGTTGTTAGCATGGCCAGACTATGTTGGAAATGGAATACATGATCACTGTTTATAGCAGACTTTAGAATCAGGGTAGTAAATAAGCTGATATTAGTTAAAATTAATACTGCTTCAAAAGTTCCATTGAGACTGGGCAGGGTGGTGCATGCCTGTAAGCCCAGCACTCAGGTACAGAGGCAGAAAGATCTCTGTTACATATTGAGTGCCAGGCCATTCAGGGTTACATAGTGAGACCCTGTCTCAACACCAACACACAAACAAGCAAAACTCCAAAACCTCCCACAACACTGAGTACAAATATATATATATAAGGGTCTGAAAACTTGCAGAGGGAAGATCGGTCACCTAATGTAACAGATAACCAATTTTTTTTAATAGTTTGTTTTTATATGTTGTATATTTTTAATTACTTTTACTTTTTGAGTAATTGTGTAATTACATCATTTCCCCCTTCCCCTTTCTCCCTTCGAATGCTTCCATCCACTGGTGCCCCCTTGACTCTTTCGAAGTCCTGATTTCTTTTTTTCATTAATTGTTACATAATGATTACATAAATAATACATAATGTTACATAAATGTACATGTATGTACACATAAAACCCTCAATACAACCTACTCAGTCTGTATAATGTTATATGAGTTACAAATATCTAATGCTGCTGACTAAAATTCAGATACGTTCTAGCACTTTCAATGTGTCATGAGAAACAAGATTGCACAGTTTGTCAGTGATTTAATGATGCTGAAAGTTAAACGGCACTTACTACTTTACTATTAATGTATTAGAAGGCTATCCATGTATTTTTATTTATTTATTTTTCTACTTGCCAGTATCCTGATTTGGCACTTTGGGGACTCAGAATTATGACAGAAATCCTTATACCTTAAAAATTACACAGTCTTAGGCATTCTGTTATAGAAGTAAAAATTGACTAAGACAATCACGAATACAGTGAACGCTGGTGTTCGAAGGTGTAGCTGTGGGGCCTGCGTTTGCTCTTCACTCTCTGAAGCATCAAAGTCCCACGATCATTGTCTCCTTTCCCCTTGACTGCACAGGGGAAGTCATTTTTTTTTTTTTCTTAAAGCTACGTGTTTTTCAACTTCTTTTCCTTTTTAGATCTAGATCTTTCAATCAGTTTGGAACAGGAAATGCCACACTTCCTGCAGGAACTCATTTCCTTCAGGGAGCCAAAGCGTTGGCTCATCACTTCTCCCTAAACTGGGGAAAGGTGAACTGAGGAGTTCAAGACAGGGAGTGGTTGGGATGAGAGATACTGGTACTGTGCGCAGTTACCGTGTGCTTATCTCACGGAAAACCTGATTAGGAAGTGCGTTATAAAACACATACCACAAGAAACAAGGAGAGGAAGAGGGAAAGAGTAATAAAAAAAAAGGGAAGTTGTTTTAAGAATGTTAGCAAAAAAAAATGCTGGGAAAATTAAAACACAATTAGCTCTGACTAAGAAAGAAAAGTAGCTGAGTGTCGCGGCAAGTGCAACCTGTTCAGACTGAAACCATGTTTTTGTCAATTCATTTTAGGTTGCATTTAAAACACCGCCCCATTATTCTACTGTGTCCTCCCCAACCTATGTTGAAATCTAGATTACAACCTGAGAGATAGTACGAATCCGTACTAACTAGTGCTTAGGCATCTCTCATTAGTTGCCTTTGTATTTTCAAGACTAAACGATGGCCTCCTGTTGAATATTTGCAAATGTACACTGTACGGATGTGATTGTACCTTTATATGTTTCAAGTACACATTTTAAAGGCGAACTTTGGAATGTGTTGACAACACCATGTGAATATGGATTACATGTGATGTATTAAGTTCACTTGGGCGTTTGCAAGGTTCCTACTAGCCTACAGACACATCTGCACTGTTTACTTAGGAAGCATGTTTGTGTTCTGTATTTCAGAAATGGCTTACATGATGAAGAAAGAACATGCCCTTTGGGCATCTGTGTGTCTGTTGGTTAGTGTTGTCCCCGAGCTGCTTACTGCTCTGCCTGAGGAAGCTGATGGACATGCAGAAACCACAGGTAAAGTACTGCAAAGTTGATCTGTTTTTTTTTCTTTTAGTTAATCAAAGCTCTCAATTTAGTGTAAAATTCATATTTTTCATTATACTAGAATTATTTATGTATTTTTTATTATTTTGTGTGCATGTGTATTTTGCCTGCTTGTGTGTCTGTGTACCATGTGTATGCAGTGTCCTCAAACACCAGAAGATAGCATTAGGTTTTTTGGAACTGGAGTTATAGACAGTTGTAAGCCACCATGGGTGTGCTGGGAATTGAACCCTCATCCTCTGGAAGAACAGCAAGTACTCTTAACTGCTGAGCCATCATTCCAGCCCCCTTAGAATTTTTTTTGTTTATAACAAAGTAGTATTTTCCTTAAGACAGTTCTTGTATTAAGTGGGTTCATTTTTAGACTATCCAAAATCAAGTCACTGCAGCAAGAGAGACTTTTTTTTGTTTATTTTTTTTTTCGAGACAGTGTTTCTCTGTGTAGCCCTGGCTGTCCTGGAACTCACTCTGTAGACCAGGCTGGCCTTGAACTCACAGAGATCCACCTGCCTCTGCCTCCTGAGTGCTGGGGTTAAAGGCGCGAGCCACCACCGCCCAGCAAGAGAGACATTTTGTGTAAGACAGTAACACCAGAACATGTTCTGGAATATTGTAAGAAGAAAAGAACTTAGGGGGATTCTTCCCAACAGTTTTATATTTGAGCCAGGAAAAGTACGAAAAGGAAAAAGAACCGTGATATGAGCCTTAGCCGTCCTCTCCTTACCAGTATTTTCCAAATAAGAACGTCTGAGAGGAAACTGATGTAGGAATCTGGTTGAGCTGGACATCAAAGGAACTAGTGTGGAAGTGAGTTTCAACTCCATCAACTCTGTCAAAAATGAAAATATCAATAAGTGCAAAAAGAAAAAAAACTGGAGCAGGCATCATAGAGATTTATATATTTACCCCAAAGTAACATTTTGTACAAAACAATTGATAGAGCTCAAGTTACTGGTAATGGAAAATATGAACAACTTGATACTCCAAATTATATCTTATTTCTGACATATGTACAGAGTTCCATGTATACATCCTCATCTCCAGTGAATTTGTTCAGTGTCTTCCCATTTAACGAAGGCCGGGTAAATACATCTTCTGAGCCTGAAACTGTAGTTGATGGGAGGGAATAATGGTGGCTCAGAGGAAATCTTAAATTCTCTCAGCTTTGTAGAGGGCTCTCACTACATAGTCCGGATGGACTCACGAGCTTTTGCTCCTGCCTCAGAGGGCTAGGATTGCAGGCAAGGGTTCTGCACCCAGCTACGGTTTGATCTTATTGTAGACTTGAAGTTCTTTTGATCAATGAGTTGCATAGTCTTATCTAGGTTTGCTTTGTTTCTGCTTGGTTTTTAATTAATTTTACAATACTCAGAAGCACACAGCAAGTGGACCCTTAGATAGTAAGTTACCTGCAGACCATGGATTCACAATCTCCAGAAGAGTGATATCCTAGCAGTCAGGGCACCCCATGACCTTGAGCACCCCATGGTCTACTGAGACTTTTTTTTTTGATATCCAAAGACACAGGGAAGGGAACTAAGATTCAGTACAAGATTTTCATAGGAAAATGATTTCCAATTTTATAAAGTGAATTCTTAGAATACTATTGAGTAGAAATTACATTATTAAATCTAATTGTTTAACCCAAATGCCATATTGAGCATCACAGTCATGTGATGACAATATTATTCTTATAAAGATTGTGTAATATAACTGCTATAACTGCATTTGAAGGACAATTCTATCATGAGCTGGTATAAACAGGAGCAACTTAGTTAATTTCTGCGATTTTTTTTGTTGTTGTAAGATGAAGATAACACCCACATCATAAAGTTGTGATCATCAGATAATTTTGTAACAAAGTTCTAGGAAATTGTAACTAGTCAGAAAAAATTCTGTTATTAGTGTAAACAGCTTTGAAAAAACAAAACAACTCTTCTGTGGTACACTCTCACCCTCTGGTGGCAAAATTATCAAATGGCAGGCTGAATTTGGGCTCTGTTGTTTTGGAGACACACACACACACACACACACACACACACACACACACACACACACACACTTGAGATTTGATATAAATCAGTTAGGGAGCGGAAAGACAAAGTCTGGGCCCAGCTCACTTTTCCCTTACACTGCCTAGTTCCCAGCTCAGAGAGTGGGAGCCATCGATAGTGGATAGGTCCTTCCAGTCAGTTAATCTAATCAGTATAGATCTAGTCTAACCATACCTCAGACCTGCTTAGAAGCCATCTCTCAGGTGACTCTTGATTCTGCAAGTTGATGATTAACCCCCAACCACCATAGCTTTCCAACTGTAATTTTATTAGTCCTATAAATGGCGGGGCTGGGGAGATTGTAATGTGCTTGTCTAGCAAGACCAGGACCTGAGTTTCATCCCAGAATCTATGTAAAAAATGCTGGGTCTTGATGGTGCGTGTTTATAAGCCCAGTAGTGGGAAGCAGGAGTAAGGCAGATTCCTGGAACCCACTGTGCAGAGAGCAAGCTGGCCAGCCTAGCCTACCTTTTGAGTGCCAGGCTAGTGAGAGATAGATAGTAGTTGAAGAAAGACAGTCAGGGTGCATGTGCACCTCTCCACACGAGCAGATCTGCACGTATATATGCACACAAATAAACAAGTAGACAAATAAGAAATAGATAAATAAATGACGACATTCCAATTTCTTTGTTAGAATGTTAACATTATTAAGATATGGCTAGAATATGATATTCATTTAATATAGATAACTGTAATAATAAAATATAAATGGAAGAAGATATTGGAAAGTAACCTAAATCAAATTTATATGAATATTTTCCAAAAGTTCACATTTTAAAATTGTAAGGAATTAAAAAAATGGATTTATTACTAGATTACCATCTATCTACAAATTTGTACTTTGTTTTAAAATATTTTTATATGAAAACATTGAAGTGATGTCCATTCATGTCCTAGTATTGAAAATAATTTTATAGTTCAATAGTGTATGGATAGCTTTTAGTTTATCAGAGCACTGCTGCCCTCTAGAGGACTAATTAGTTTATGTCATTTAAAGCCTCTAGCACCTTCTTGAAGGATCATTAATAAATTATCAAAGACATGGAATACATATGCACTCTTAGGTCGTTCCTTTCACTGAACTCATAATAATTTATCTTTTCTGTTTCAGTTTTCTTATTTAAAAAATTGAGAGTGGAAGTTATACATCTGACAAAATGACAGCAAGGGCATTATCACAGTGCTGGCAGAGAATTACATGTGTGGTATTTTTATTCTTACCGTGTAGTTTCCGAGCGGCCACCGATGAAACCGAAGCACACATTTTGTGCCATGAAGATGGATGATGGGCC